GGCGTTTGATCCATTGAAGGGAAAAAGCCATGGCTTGGGTTTGGGGATCAATGATCCCAAGACCCCCTATTGATTTAGGTTGAATGATGGAAAGCCAAGCCACCCTACTAATGACATTAAGTTTTTCATGATCTCCACGCCACAAAAAGGCCCGTATTTGTCTTTTAAGAAGTTTAAGATTGCTTTTGTCTAGGGCTCAAAATGCTGATTTATACCATATCGAGGCTAGGATGACATTATTTATTATTAAAGTTCTACCAAAGAGGAAAGTATGTTTCTCCTTCCATGAGACCATTTTCAACCCTGCTTGTTGTAAGATTCCCTCATTGGAGGAGGTGGGCCTTCCAGAGACTGAGAGAGATATTCCCAAGACTCTAATGGGTTCATTATGGGGGACCCATTTAATGCGAGGAAGTTCAGGGGTTCTCACACCTTGGTGATGGATCCACCATCCAAGAGTATTATTTCCCTAGTTGACTCGCATATCAGAAAGTTTACAAAATTTGTCCATTATTCTCTTAATAGCTTCTAAGCTATCATATGAGGCGTCCACCATGAGAGAGAGATCATCTGCAAAGAGGGAGTAAATTGGAATTGCTTCCTCAGGAATAGAGGAAACCCGAATACGCGTAATATCTTTGTTGTATCTTATGTTGGCTGCTAGGGCCTCCATAATGATAACAAAGAGAAGCGGTGCGATAGGGTCGCCTTGCCTGACTGATCGCTGAAGTGTAATGGGGGGTGCCACATTTCCATTAATCATTACCCTCGTTGTAACATTTTGATGCAAAATATTAATCCATCTCCTAAAGTGTGGTCCGAAATTAAACTTCTCCAAATTTCAGTGGTACGCTGAATTTATTCGATGCTTGGATGTACGTCGGGCATACGGACGGTGGAACTTTGCAAGATGTATCTCACCACAATTACGTTCATATTCAGTCTAGGAAATGCGAGTGTAAATATTATGGGCTTAGGAGGCTGCTTGTAGCCTTCTCAATGGGCCTCGCTGCTCTGTACAACATTCTAAATGCATCTGGACGACGTTGCGCTCCGGATGCGTTCAAACCGACCCAACATTTTGAACGTATTGGGATCATTGACAGATCCAGATACATTTCGAATTTTGTGTAATGAAGCGAGTCCCATTATCTATATGTCATTTGATAATTTGGCCGATCCAGTGAGATACCTCTCTCTAGCATTCCCTTCTCTCTCTCTCTCTCTCTCTCTCTCTCTCTCTCTCTCTC